GAAGGAGAAAGACACACATGGTATATACTCACTCATAGAGTCCTATAAGATATGATATACATAATGAAATCTATACACCTAAAGAAGATAAACAAGAAAGAGGACCCGAGCTAAGATGATCAATCCTCACTTAGAAAGATAAATGGAAGGTGCACTGGACATAGAGAAAACAAGTAACAGGACAGGAGCCTACCGCAGAGGGCCCCTGAAAGACTCTACCTAGCAGCGTAACAAAGCAGTTACTAAGACTCATAACCAAACCTTTGGCAGAGTGCAGGGAATCATATGAAGGAAGGGGGAGTTAATATTACCTGGAAAGGAAAGGAGCTTGACAAGGACCAAATATATTTGGGCTCAGGATTCTTTTATGAGACTGATACCCCACCAAGGACCATGGATGGATATAACCTAGAACCTCTGTGTGGATGTAGCCCGTGGTAGCTCAGGGACCAATTGGTTTCCCATAGTAAGGGGAACAGGGACTACTTCTGAAAGGAACTCAATGGCAGGCTTTTTGCCCTCCCCACCCCCCAAGGGAGGAGCAGTCCTGCTAAGCCACAGAGAAGGACTTTGCAGCCAGTCTTGAAGATACCTGATAAAACAGGGTCAGATGAAAGGGGAGGAGGTCCTCCCCTATCAGGGACTTAGAGAGGGGCAGGGCAGAGATGAGGGAGGGAGGGAGGGTAAGATTGGGAGGGAATGAGTGAGCGGGATACAGCTAGGATACAGAGTTAATAAAATGTAACTAATTACAAATTATAAAAACCAAAATAATTTATTGGTTAGAAATAGTATATTGTGATTGTTCCTGCTCCACTTACTAGGTGACCCACCAAGTTCACTGGCATGAACTCGGTTGCTGGCTCTTTGATCACTTTGCCCTGGCAAGGTGGCCTTACTAGGTCACAGAGAAAGAGGATCTAGACAATCCTGATGAGTCCTTATAGGCTAGGGTCAGATAGTAGGGAAGGAGGGCCTCCCTTATCTGTGGACTAGGGCAGGAATATAGCAGGGAAAGAAGGAGGTAAGTTGGAACCAGGAGGAGACGAGGGACATGGCTGTAGCCAGGTACAAAATGAATAAATTGTAATTAATAAAAATAATAATAATTAGTAAAACATAAAAAAACAAAATAAAATAACCATTAAAAAAGAACTACAATATTGTAATAGGAAGGTATGAAAATAAGGATGATAAAGAGAATTACTGAAAGAAGTTAAACTCCTCATTTCAAATAATTAGAATTTAAATGATACTGACAGTCAATATACTGACAAATTCAAAATAATAATGTCCTCATTTAGGACTGGTGGTTTTGTTGCAGATACTCAAAGATGTAATGCAAATTGAATGTGGATCATATGAGAAAATACAGAAGGAATTGAGAGTGGAAAAGTCACAATTTATCTATCTATCTATCTATCTATCTATCTATCTATCTATCTATCTATTTACCTACCTACCTACCTCCTAAATGTTTCCAGCTATCAAACATGAAATAATGACTTGATGATACATAGAGAGGAAACGGACAAAAAAATAGAAGCTATCATTGAAAAGCAGGAGTCCACATTCAAACAGATGAAGGAAATGGTGCAAGACATGAAAACAGAATTAGAATCAATAAAGAAAACACAAATAGAGAAAAACCAGGAGCTGGAGAACATAGAGAAAAGATCAGGCACCACAAAGGTAAGCATCACCAACAGAATACAAGAGATGGAAGAAAGAATCTCAGGAGCCGAAGATACACTTGCGGAAATTGACACGTCTCTCAAAGAAAAAATAAAATCAGAAAAGTTCCAAACACAAAACATCCAAGAAATCAAGGACACCATGAAAAGACAAAACCTAAGAATAATAGGAGTAGAAGAAAAAGAAGACATCAGGCTCAATGGTCTGGAAATTATTTTCAAGAAAATTATAGAAGAAAACTTTCCCAACTTAAAGAAGGAGATGGCCATAAACATACAAGAGGCCTACAGAACACCAAGTAGACTAGACCAGAAAAGAAATTCTTCACATCACATCATAGTCAAAACACTGAACCTATAAAACAAAGAAAAAATTCTAAAAGCAGCAAGGGAAAAAGGCCAAGTAACATATGAAGGTAGACCTATCAGAATCACACCAGAATTCTCAACAGAAACTATGAAAGCCAGAAGGGCCTGGACAGAAATCATACAGTCCTTCAGGGACCACAGATTCCAACCCAGACTACTATACCCAGCAAAACTTTCAATCAACATAGACAGAGAATTCAAGATATTCCAAGGCAAAATCAAATTTAAACAATATCTACATAGTAACCCAGCTCTACAGAAGTTACTAGAAGGGAAACTCCAAACCAAAGAAAACAACTACATAGAAGCAAACAGAGGAAATAGATAACTACATAACAAAAAAAAAAAAAAAAGAAGACAAACAATGAAACTCAGTGACACCACCAACCCCACATCTAAAGTAAGTAACAATTGTTGGTCACTAGTTTCTATCAACATCAACGGACTCAACTCCCCAATTAAAAGACACAGACTAACAGAATGGTTGCAGAAACAGGATCCATCATTCTGTTATATCCAAGAAACACACCTATGCAACAAAGATAAACACTACCTCAGAGTAAAGGGCTGGAAAAATGTCTTTCAAGTAAATGGTTCCAGAAAACAAGCGGGAGTAGCCATCCTAATATCTAATAAAATAGACTTTCAACCCAAGTTAATCAAAAAAGATAAGGATGGCTACTATATTCTCATCAAAGGAAAAATCCACCAAGAGGACATCACAATTTTGAATATCTATGCCCCAAATACAAGAGCACCTACATTCGTAAATGAAACAATATTAAAGCTTAAATCACACATTGATCCTAAAACAATAATAGTGGGAGGCTTCAACACTCCACTCTCACCAAGGGACAGATCAACTAGACAGAAAACAAATAGGGAAATAAAAACACTTACAGAGACCCTAAATCAAATGGACCTAATAGACGTCTATAGATCTTTTCATCCAAACTCAAAAGAGTATACCTTCTTTTCAGCACCGCATGGAACCTTCTCCAAAATAGACCATATAGTTGGTCATAAAGAAAGCCTCAACAGATACAAAAAGATTGAAATAATCCCTTGTATTCTATCTGACCACCATGGACTTAAGCTGGACCTCAACAACAACAGAAATAACAAACAGCCTACAAGCACATGGAAATTGAACAACCTGTTACTCAACGACAGCTGGGTTAAGGAAGAAATAAAGAAAGAAATTAAAGACTTCCTAGAATTCAATGAAAATGAAGGCACAACATACCCAAATTTATGGGACACATTGAAAGCAGTGCTCAGGGGGAAAATTTATAGCCCTAAGTGCCTGCAAGAAGAAATTCGTAACATCACATACAAACAACTTAATGGCCCAACTGAAAACCCTAGAAAAGAAAGAAGCAGATATACCCAAGAGGAGCAGAAGGCTGGAAATAATCAAACTCAGGGCTGAAATCAATCAATTAGAAACAAATAAAACTATTCAAAGAATCAATGAAACAAAAAGCTGGTTCTTTGAGAAAATCAACAAGATAGACAAACCCTTAGCCAAACTAACTAAAAAGCAGAGAGAATCTATCCAAATCAACAAAATCAGAGATGAAAAGGGTGACATAACTACAGACACAGAGGAAATTCAAACAATCATTAGGTCATACTACAAAGGCCTATATGCCACAAAATTTGAAAATCTAAATGAAATGGACAATTTTCTTGATAGATTCTATCATCCAACATTAAGTCAAGATCAGGTAGAAAGACTGAACAGCCCAATATCCCCCAAGGAAATTGAAGCAGTCATTCACAGTCTCCCCTCCAAAAAAAGCCCTGGGCCAGATGGTTTCAGGGCGGAATTCTACCAGACCTTCAAAGAAGTGCTCACACCAATTCTCCTCAAACTATTCCACAAAATAGAAACAGAAGGTACATTACCAAACTCATTCTATGAAGCAACAGTCACCCTGATACCTAAACCACACAAAGACCCAACAAAAAAAGAGAACTTCAGACCTATCTCTCTTATGAACATTGACGCAAAAATACTCAATAAAATACTTGCAAACCGAGTCCAAGAACACATCAAAGATCTCATCCACCACAACCAAGTAGGCTTCATCCCAGGCATGCAAGGTTGGTTCAACATACGGAAATCCATCAATGTAATCCATCACATAAACAAATTGAAGGAGAAAAACCACATGATCATTTCCTTAGATGCTGAAAAAGCATTTGACAAAGTCCAACACCCATTCATGTTTAAAGTCTTGGAGAGATCAGGAATACAAGGCACATATCTAAACATAGTAAAGGCAATATACAGCAAGCCTATAGCCAACATCAAACTCAATGGAGAGAAACTTAAATCAATCCCACTGAAATCAGGGACAAGACAAGGCTGCCCACTCTCTCCATACCTCTTCAACATAGTACTTGAAGTCCTAGCCAGAGCAATAAGACAACTAAAGGAGATCAAGGGGATACAAATCAGAAAGGAAGAGGTCAAAGTGTCACTATTCGCAGATGATATGATAGTATATATGAGCGACCCCAAGAATTCAACTAGTCTCTTTTTAGCATTCCCTTTGCTTCCAAATACAGGTATCTGAGCTACCAACTCATTTAACATAATTTTAAGACTAAGCTGTGTACCACCAAATAATTAACAGATGCAGCTGCTGAATTCAAGGCTTAGTCTGATGTGAAAGATTTGCCCCTGTGGCATAGACTATTAAGATGGTCTGCTGACCTATATGCGGCACGACAGTATGTTCGGCAGCACGTTGCCACCTTGTTGTGTGTACGCTAGAAGCTGAGTCACCTTGTACAGTCCAAAATTATACCTAGGCATATACACAGATCTGTCTTTGCAGCTGTGATTTCAGTTCTGTCGGTGTTACACGTTTCAGATCTTCGAAAACAGCCATAGACACAATGAGTGTCAGAAAAAAAGGGGCTCACATGTGCAAGTTGTTCCATTTTCATCCAGAAGTTGATTGTCAGCACAGGCACACACGCGGCCAGCTGGAATCGCCAGGCAGAGTGTACCACAACCCCCATTGTTAATGCGACACATATTGTCACCTGCAGAAAAAGAGGAAAAGAAAGAAAGAGAGTTGTCACATAGCTGAGGGCTATGCACCTTCTAAAATATGGTTAATTTGTAAGGTTATGTAACCCAAGCTACCTTTTAACTTCCAAACCTGTTATTTTCTTTTCTTTTTCTTTTTCTTTTCTTTTCTTTTTTTGTCTTCCACCCAACTGCTAGAATTACAGGTATGTACTGCCAGATCTAGTTTTTTTTTTTTTTTATTTCAAGAATACTTTCTTTCACTGAAATACACATGGGCATGTAACTATGTGCAAGGAAATGTTATATATAGTTAACTTTTGTGGATATAGTCAACATTCAGGCTAAATAGAAATGGCTTTCAGAAAACTGGGAATAGTACTACCTCAAGACCCAGATATACCACTTCTGGACATATATCTGAATGACCTAGCAGCTGTTTTCAGTGCAAATACAAGGTGTGAGCACAGGGACAAATGTAGATGCGTGTGTGAACATGGAGACGGATGCAAACACAGGTGTGAGTGTAGAGACAGATACAGGCACAGGTGTATATTCGAAGACAGACGCAGATACAGGCGAGGTACAGTGATAGATATAGACACAGGTATGAGTGCACGGGACGCAGAAGCAGGCAGGAGACATAGATAGATGCCGTAATTGCAGAAGTCACGTAAAATATGTGATAAACATATGTTTGAATGAATAGATAAATGTAGACACAGGTGTCAGCACAGGTAGATCTAGATATATGTCAATTCAAGAGGACATGTACACACAGGTTTGAGAGCATACATACATGTAGATTCAGGTGTGAGTGTGTGGAATGATGGGAATAAAAGTGTGAATATATGGATGAGTGTAGATGTTAACATGCAGAGAGTAAAACAGTTTTAGCATGATGAAAATCATCCTCGTTTTATTTTAATGACACAAGTGCAGTCAGTGATTATAATGTGTATTTTGGGAAGAAAACTTAAAAGTATGTTACAACCTCAACATAACAGTAATTAAGACATGTGATATACAAAAACATTCGACACGTCTGAATTAATATTTCAATGTGTTAGATCTTTGTAATTTAATCTCTTATAAATCTATATTGTTAGCAGGTGGTAGAATATGTTTCCAATACAAAAAATCTGATTTGGGGCGGAGCCAAGATGGCGACTAGCACACACAGTTTCCGAGCTGTGGAAGAGATAAAGTTCTGAGCTGATGTGTGGAAGAACTTCTGAAGCCAGGGAAACAACGGAGAGACTTTCTAAACAACAGGGAACATCGCAGGAGGTGAAAACCTTGGTCTCGGGTCACCCAGGGACTTGTTTGGGGAAGGTGAGAAACGATCCATTGATCTCTCGGCACTGCCCTCCCCCAGACCTCCCTCCTCCTCGGCTCAGGCACAGCCGACTCGCCTTTCTCAGCGCAGACCTAACTGCCTGGGGCCTGCAGCCACTGAGGCGGAGCCCCAAGCCCTTTATCGGCAAAGGCCAGCAGTACTGTGTCTCGGAGCCCCTCGCGGCGGCTGCACCATCCTCCCAGGGCCCGAGTCTGCTAGACGCCATACTAGCTCCGCACGAGCGCCATCACTGACGGTACGGCCCGCCCAATCCCACAGTGACAGAGAATACGCTATATACTCACCAAAACCAGACAGAAACGCCATACAAGCTAGACACACCAGGCGCTGGGCCTCCGAAGCTTGGAGAGCACAGTAAAGAGACCCCAGGACTTCCCAGAAAGCATCTGGACTAGCAACCCAGTCTCCAGTTACAGCGGGACTTTCTAACCTGGCGGCGGCGCAGCACTGAGCTGGCGGGGCACATCAGCCCTCCAGTTTAAGACTAACCAGGGCCAAACCAGAGAACAGAAAGGCTGATTACCCCGATTCCCACTGACGTGACCACCCTGAAATCTCCAGCTGCAGCAAGACCTCATAACCTGGCAGTGACAGCAGCACGGAACTGGCGGAGCACATCAAAGAAGCAGGGCCAAACCAGAGAACAGAGAGCCCAGATACGCCAATCTCTGCCAAGTGTCCTGCCTGTAAGTGAGTGCACCCTTGAGAATCTGCAGCTCCACTGATCCTGGGTTCTGCTAAAACAGAAGCCAGGCATCGAACCCCCTCCCACCCATATACCCACTTTGGGAAACAGAGGGGCACTTGGAACATTGAAGTTCCTGCTCTGTGGGTCTAATTGAGGAGTTAAGGCAGTTAATGCCAGAAATTGCGCTGCGATCATCACTAGCGCCTGCGACATATACATTGCAGAGCCCCTCCCACACACTCAAGGGTTCAACATTAGCCATCACTCTGTCCCTCGAGACACACGCCCACACCCACTTACACACACACACACACATATACACACACACGCACGCACGCTTGCATTTGCCTCTGTTTGCGCCTGCGTACTTTCCTCCCACAGGTACAGCTAGTCCTCAGCATACGCTAAGGACACGGGACCTCTCTCAACTTCCTGAAGAATTCTCCAGACTCGAGAGAGAGACAGTACCAGTCTGACTGGCAGAATCCAAAAACAAACAGGGAAGGTCTCAGACAAGCCAATGGCCAGGGGTAGGCGAAAGAACACTTCCAACATAAATCAGGACATCATGACTTCACCAGCAAACCCCAAAACCGATGGATACTCCAATTCATCAGAAGCACAGGAAAATGACCTTAAAGCCATGCTTGCTCAATTATTTGAGGCTTATAAGGAGGAAATGAACAAATCTTTCAAAGAGTTGGCCAGTCAATTGGAGGTAAAGAAAGAAGAAATAGACAAAACCCTTAAAGAAACACAGGCAAACATAGCCAAACAAATAGAGGCACAAGTAGAGAAAAAATTAGTGGCATACAAAAAGGAAATGAACAAGGAAATAGAGTCCATCGTAGAGAGACAGGAATCCAAATTCAAACACATAAAAGAAATGGTGCAAGGCATGAAAACAGAATTAGAATCAATAAAGAAAACACAAAATGAGAAAACTCTTGAGCTGGAGAACTTGGAGAAAAGATCAGGAACCACAAAAGTAAGCATCACCAACAGAATACAAGAGATGGAAGAGAGAATCTCTGGAGCTGAAGACACACTTGCAGAAATTGATACTTCTCTCAAAGAAAAAGTAAAATCAGAAAAATTCCAATCACAAAATATCCAAGAAATCAAGGATGCTATGAAAAGACAAAATCTAAGAATAATAGGAATTGATGAAAAAGAAGACTCCAGGCTCCAAGGTCCAGAAAATATTTTCAAAAAAATCATAGAAGAAAATTTTCCCAACTTAAAGAAAGAGATGTCCATAAATATACAAGAGGCCTACAGAACACCAAATAGACTAGACCAGAAAAGAAACACATCACGTCACATCATAGTCAAAACACTAAATCTACAGAACAAAGAAAAGATATTAAAAGCAGCAAGGGAAAAAGGCCAAGTAACATATGAAGGTAGACCTATCAGAATCACACCAGACTTCTCATCAGAAACTATGAAAGCCAGAAGGGCCTGGGCAAGCATCATGGAGACTCTAAGAGATCACAAATGTCAACCGAGACTACTATACCCTGCAAAGCTTTCAATCAACATAGATGGAGAAAACAAAATATTCCATGACAAAACTAAATTTACGCAATATCTATACAGCAAACCAACCCTACAGAAGATACTAGAAGGAAAACTCCAATCCAACGAAAACGAATTCACCCAAGAAAACAGGGCATACAGATAACATCCCAACAAAAATGAAAAGAAAACAAGCAATGAAACAAGGTAAGATCATCGACTCCATTATAAAAGGAACTAACATGCATTGGTCAATATTATCTATCAATATTAATGGACTCAACTCACCAATAAAAAGACACAGGCTAACAGAATGGTTACGGAAACAGGACCCAACATTCTGTTGCATCCAAGAAACACACCTATGCAACAAAGATAAACACTACCTCAGAGTAAAGGGCTGGAAAAATGTTTTTCAAGCAAATGGTTCCAGAAAACAAGCTGGAGTAGCCATCCTAATATCTAATAAAATAGACTTTCATCCGAAGTTAATCAAAAAAGATAAGGAGGGCCACTATATTCTCATCAAAGGAAAAATCCAACAAGAGGACATCACAATTTTGAATATCTATGCCCCAAATACAAGAGCACCTACATTCGTAAATGAAACAATATTAAAGCTTAAATCATACATTGATCCTAATACCTTAATAGTAGGAGACTTCAACACCCCACTCTCATCAAGGGACAGATCAACCAGACAGACACCAAATAGGGAAATAAAAGCACTCACAGAATCCCTAAATCAAATGGACCTAATAGATGTCTACAGATCTTTTCACCCAAACTCAAAAGAGTACACCTTCTTTTCAACACCACATGGAACCTTCTCCAAAATAGACCATATAGTTGGTCACAAACAAGCCTCAACAGATACAAAAGGATTGAAATAATCCCTTGTATACTATCTGACCACCATGGACTAAAGCTGGACATCAACAACAACAGAAACAACAAAAAGCCGACACGCACATGGAAACTGAACAACTTACTACTCAATGACAGCTGGGTCAAGGAAGAAATAAAGAAAGAAATTAAAGACTTTCTAGAATTCAATGAAAATGAAGGCACAACATACCCAAATTTATGGGACACATTGAAAGCAGTGCTCAGAGGAAAATTTATAGCACTAAGTGCCAACAAGAAGAAATCCGTAACATCACATACAAACAACTTAATGGCCCAACTGAAAAACCTAGAAAAAAAAGAAGCAGATACACCCAAGAGGAGCAGACGGCTGGAAATAATCAAACTAAGGGCAGAAATCAATCAATTAGAAACAAATAAAATTATCCAAAGAATCAATGAAACAAAAAGCTGGTTCTTTGAGAAAATCAACAAGATAGACAAACCGTTAGCCAAACTAACTAAAAAGCAGAGAGAAACCATACAAATCAGCAAAATCAGACAGGAAAATGGGGACATAACTACAGACACTGAGGAAA